TTTCACTGCCTTCTCACCCCATCCTCACTAAGCACCCATTCCCTATTGAGTTCTCAGTATGGCCACTGTTTAAGACACAAAACTCCTCATGGACCTTATAATCTATTATGAGGAAGGCAGGCAAATTAAAGTGTGCATTATACACTTTGTCGGAAGAGGGTAAGTGCTCTAGAGCGGTGATTGCCAACATTTTTGGCAACAGGGACCGGTTTCATGAAGGACGATTTTCCTTGTATGGCATTGGGTGGGGAGGATGGTTTTTGGATGAAACTGTTTCACCTCAGATCATCAGGCATTAGATTCTCATAAGGAGCATGCAACCTAGATGTCTCAAAACATGCAATTCACAATAGGGTCCAAGCTTCAATGAGAACCTAATGCTCGGCTGATCTGATGGGAGGTAAGCTCAGGTGGTAATGGTCCATGGCCTGTTGCTCACCTCCTGCTGTGCAGCCCTGCTTGGTCACTGATGGGTAGCAGTCCCCAGCCCAGGGGTTAGGAACCCCTGCTCTGGAAAAAACCGAAAGCAAGAAGGAATATGGAGTTCTGGGAAAAGAAAGAAAGGGCTTCACATGGTTAGGAAAGGTTTCCTTGAGAGGGCAACATTTAAACAAACACTGAAGGAGGAGCAGGCATTGTGGATATTTGGGGCAAGAACATTCCAGGCAGAGAGAACAGTATGTGCAAAGGTTCTCAGGTAGAACTGTGCCTGCCATGTTGGAGAAACAGCAAGAAAACTGAACTGCTAGAGAGGCCTGAGGATGGGGGAGCATTTCAGGGAATGAGGTCAGAGAGGCAGTGGAGGAGACAGAACAAAGAGGCCTCAATATTTGTCAAATCAACTGTAATAAACATTTATTGCTTTATTTCTTGTAATAAAGAAAAACAACTAATTGCTCTAATATGTACAGAGTTGACTTTATGCTTTAAAACAAACGTGGAAGTAGTTCTAAAACGTTATGGGATATATTTCCCAGAACAAACTTTTTTTTCTGCTTTAACATGACTAAAACGTTTGCTAGAAGCTGCAATTAATTTAACGTCCCCATGTGTCTTAAAAATAAGACATAATTCCTCATAAATGTCAGATGGCTTACTAATTTCCAAGTTGTGGTTTTTTAATATGATTTTCAAGTCTGCGTCAGTTCCACAAGGTTAAAGGGTTCAAACTGTAACATGAAAAGTTAATAAAAGCAGTTTGGGACATTATTCAGAGTTCAAATTCTGCTTTAAACATATAATTTGATTTGTTTAATGAATTCTTTAACATAACATCATCTTTCTTCTCTAAAATATTAATATATAACTTAATGTTTCTGAGTGTTACAAATTACATGAACTAGAGCCAAAAGATATTGTACATATTGTTCTGCTGGCATGTTCCCTTCTTTCTGCTGTATTTTCATTTAAAAGGCATCCTTACATGTAGAAATAAGCATGCCAAGAGAGCTGGGCTTGATAAACAAAATTAACTAGTAGAAGCAGCAGATGTATACCTTCATAAAGAATGTCAGTAGGCTCTTTATTACTTCGTTTCTACTAGTTAAGAAGTAATTTGAAAATACATCCTAAACACCAAAAGATTGTTCAGTTCAACTCAGTTCAGTTCAACTCACTGAGCACCTTTGTCAGATACTAGAAGACAAAGACTACAGCCCCAGTCTCTGGCCTCAGGATCTTACAGTCTACAAGGCTGACTAAATCCCAGACTTGCCCCTGTCCAGGTGAGATGAGGGAAGGGTGAGTGCACACACTGGCACAGAAGGTGGCAGAATCAATTTGTGCTGACTTTTAAAAAAGCCACTCACCTAAAACATCATCTATCAGCTGATCCTATGTCTAACCCAGCATAAATGACAGATGATTTAACAACAGACCTTCTAAATAACACATTAAGAGTTGGGCAGAGGGTTTTGAAGCAATTTTTAAGTAAGCAAGATTTGAACCTACACTTACAAGTTTCCTCACAGACCAACTGCTCATTTTTATTCTTCACCAACACTTAAATGACAAGCAGGAAAACTTTAGCTAATAATCATTTGTAAATCTTGTGGTGAAGAAAAAAGCAGAGAGTTTTAGGTTGCACAAATTCATTAATACAAGTGAAGGGTATTTTATTCCACAAAAATTTTATGTCAAGGTAATAAGGTTGGACTAAATCCAAACCTATGAATTTATACACGTTGAATAAAAACCAATAATCAACTTAATGTCTTATTGTGTAAGGTCAAAATTATGTGAAACAATCTACGTAAATATCTACCTTTTGTTAAGTGGATCCAGAGGAACAGAACATAATGAGCCGAAATGATCCTAAGCTCTGGCCACTAACCCCAAATACCTGGGATCTGAGTGGCTGCAAACAATGGGAGGGGTAGACACTTTTTAAAAAATTTAATTTAACAAAAACACCAGATAGGCAAGCAGCTGCCCTACAAAAGATCCAGTATAGCTTCATGGGGTCACCAGACTCTGACACAAAAAAATTTAATTAATTGTATTGATTAGGCTTATAAACATTTAGGTTAAATTATGACATTTGTCTCCTGAAACTACACAATAAATAAAAGTCTAATATGAAATTGCCTATAACACAGATGGTAGCATTTTATCACAGTCCTAACATTATAAAATGTTTCCCAGTCTCAAAGTTGATTAGAATCAGAATTATCTGAGGTAACTTTTTGAAAGTGCCTATTCCCAAACCCCACCCACTAGAATTTGATTCAAAATAAGGGGTGGGAGCTTTCTACATCTCCAGACAGATTAGCGATCAGATAGGCTGGGGAGTCTGGGGGAACTAAGAAGCACCAGGCTAAGCTAACAAGAGCTATGAAACTTAAATGCAAAAAAAAAAATAAAAAATAAAAAATAAATACTACTTTATTCTCACCAAAAGCAGACTAAGCTGCTCTATTCTAGACAGAGAGCACTAGTATCATTTATGACCACCATCCAATTACATAGTCAAAAGTATATTTCAAGACCTAAAAATAGGTGTGCATGTTTATATGTATAAAGACTTGAAAAATAAGTGACCAAGTGCTAGTTGGGAAAATCACAGATGTGAGAAATATTCAAAAATAACTGATTATGCCTCATCACTCAAGATGTATCAGCACTGGAATTCCTAGATGTGTTTCAGTAAATGTCTCAAATCTAAGCTTTACTCTTTGTGTGTGATTGAATACCTGCCCCTTCACTGATTCTTTTAACATCCTGAATACATAGGATGCTTCATGGAAAGTATCTCTTCTTCCATTAGTCAATCGCAATAAAGTTTCAGATTTGAAGCCCAGTAAGAATCTAAGCAACTACATGCCTGTAGTCCCAGCACTTTGAGAGGCTGGGGTGGGCGGATCACTTGAGCTCAGGAGTTCGAAACCAGCCTGGGTAACATGGCTAAACCCCATCTTCACAAAAATATACAAAAATTAGCCAGGTGTGGTGGGATGCACCTATAGTCCCAGCTACTCAAGAGGCTGAGGCAGGAGGATTGCTTGAGTCCAGAAGTCGAGGCTGCAGTGAGATTGTGCCATTGCACTGTAGCCTAGGCGACAGAGTAAGACCCTGTCTCAAAAATAATGCTAATTACAACAATAATAATTTTCAAAAAAAAATCTAAACAATCACACTTGTTCCTAGAGAACTGCTCTCACGAAGTGCCCAGTTAACAGCCTGGATGACCATAAAAAATCCAAAACTTTATTGGGAAACATCAATGACAGCTTTGGCCAGATTAGCACAGGAACATACTGTTGGATTGATTTTCACAGACATACATTATTAAAGGTGCACCTTCAAACAGTAACTTGAGAAAAAAATAGAAATATTTAAAACATATATCATAAAAGTCCTACACATTTAACTAAAATCTTACATATTTATTAGAATTTTACAATCTGCCTAGTATTGTGCTACATACAGTACTAGACAAAATCACTTGAGGGTTTTGCACGTTTTCTTTTTTTAAACACATTGGTATTTAATATGAACTTAGGAACCACTATCAACATCTTGAGTATTAGTGTTTCAGAATGGAGGCATAGTTCAGTGAAAAAAATGCCGGCACTGGTTTTAGTTTAGATTCTTGTTTCACCAGAAAGCACGGTGCTTGGGGGAGCTGTCAAAGTACTCGGGATAGACTCAGCGCCATTAAATAAGCTCAGGCATATAGGGCCAGGAGCAAGGGAGGAGAGGAAACACTGCAACAACTCGGCAGAAAGCTGGCCCTTGCTATTTAAAAAAAAAAAAAAAGCACGAATTTATGAGGATGAATGAAATAGAGACGGCCAGTAAGGGGGGTTACTGCTTTAATCTGGACCCGCAGAGGGTAAACCCGGTTGTGGGTTACTTAGGTCCAGCTCCAAGTCAAAGGCCAGCTGTAGAGAAAAAGCAGCCTAGTTGAGAGTCTACGCGCTCAAATACACAGGAAGCCACACGATTCCAACTTGCGGCGCCAGCAGGACACTCGGGAGGAGGTGGCGGCACCGCCCGGCCGCCCGCGTCCAAGGCCAACCTCGACAAACGTGCCCCGGCCATTCCGCACGAGCCCCGAAAGCACACGCCGGGATTCCAGCTCCGCGCGGGTGGAGCGGCTTTGTCAAAGGGCGGCTGGAGAGAACCGGCCCGGCACACGGCTGTCTACTAAGGCGACCCTCGGGTCAGGTCCCTTCTCACGGGGCGGGTAGAGTCAGGAAGTCTGGAAACTAAGTGAAATGGGCTGGGGGAGGGGGGCGGCGAAGGGAGAAAGTTCAGGGACGCCTGGTTGATTCTCTGGTTTTGGGGGGAAGGAAGGAGTTTGGTGGGGGACCGACCCCGAACGCAGTAACCTACTTCACCCCCGGCCTCGCAGGCACAGCCGTACTCAGCGGGTGCAGGCGACGAACCCGACTTCCTCCCGCGCTCAGTCCCTCCAGGCCCGGCCCGGCCCGGCCCGCAGCCCGCAGCCGGTCCCCGGCGCCCCGGGTCCCGCTGCCTGCCGGACGCGCTCCACTCACCCAGCTCCTCTGCCTGCAGCCGGAGCGGGGCGGAGACCGCAAGCAACAGAGCCAAGAGGCCCGGCCCGGCAGTCCCCGCCAGCGCGCGGGCGCCGGGCACCACGGCCCCGCCGGGCGCCAGCTTGGCAGGCTCGGCCTCCCCTCGACGGACCCTGCGCCGCCGCTGCCCGCGCCGGGCCGCCTCCTCCGCGGCGGAGCGCTGTGCCAGGCCGGGGCTCAGCCGCTGCCCCGCACCGAATCCCATTGGGGCGGCTTTGAGCCCAGCCCCGCGGGGGCGTCTCCCGCCCCGCCCCGCCCCGCGCGTCGGCCCCCAGAGGAGGAAGTCGCGCTCCCCGGCAGTTACCCACTGCGAGGCCGGAGGCGAGCCAGGCGCCGCCCGCGCTCGCCTCCACGTATCTGGCGCACCCTGTAGCGCTCCTTCCTTCCCTCCGCTCCACCTGCCCAATACACGTGAACCTGCTTCGCAGCAGGACACCTCGCCGCGAGACCCGCCCCTCGCCGAACGGTGCAGGAGTCCTTCTCGGAGGGGCTGAGCCCGCGGCGGTGCCCTGGGAGGCTGCCCCCCTCCAGGGTTTTGCCAGCCCGCGGGGATGGGCATGCCAGGGATAGCCACACAGAGAGACTGGAAATATTTTGGTGATAGGATGATGACAGTGCCAAGTAGGACCTTAACTCATTCATTCATTCACTTAAAAGTTATTCAGTTCAGCAGTGTGCTTGTCAGGAGCAGGGCTAAACCCATGTGGCACTTGCAGACATTGAAAATAATCAGGCAAGTATTCAATGCAAATTGCAATCAGTGACATGAAGGGTGCTGTTGAAGCACATTTAGAGAGCTCTAATTAGATGGCGGGTAACGGGGTTGAGGGAGGAATCAGCTAGGAGAGGGCTAAGTGGCATCAAAGCTGAGATTAAAGCAGGAGCTAAAACAGACAAGTTGTGCAAAGAAGCTGAAGGAGGAAAGGGCCAGGTGGCTGGAGCACGGTGAACAGGTGGGTGCACGGCCAGATGTAGAAGCTAGTGTACAGATTAGGGGCCAGGACGTGCAGCCTAAAGGATGTTTAACTTGGTTTTGGGAGCGGTGAGCAGCTACGGAAGGTTCAGAAGGCGGAAGGACTCGACTCGTTGATCCTCTAAGGAGTTGCAGAGAAGGGTTTGGGGAGGGCAGATTGGAGAGTGGAGAATTACAAAGCTATTACCGAGTAGTTGAATAGGGTGGTGGCAGTGGAAAGTGACAAGGACAGATTAGATATGTATTTTAAGGGCTATCTTACGTCTCTGGTGCCCTGTAGTCCCCGTTTACTTCCTCTGCGCGCTGCACCACGGCATGGCACTCTGAGGTTTCACATAGAGGTGCAGCGCAGGGAAGCATGGAGGCGTAGAGGAAGCAACAGTCCCTCCAGTGGCAAATAGTGGCCCCTCATGTGATCTTTGGATAACCTGGATGGACTCATTTCATACATGCGTTCCTTTTTTCCTCTTTCCTTTTTTTAACTAAATAAACAAACTGATAAAATCTCAAATGAGATTGCCTTTGGGGCTTTGCTTTCTCTGAGGCAGCAGATCTTAGAGGAAAGAACTTGGGCGTTAGAAATGGAGTGGATCCCAGTTTGATTCTGGACCTTAGCTTTGTTGCAGAGTGTGACACCTAACTGAATGTGTATATTAAGTTCTGCATGTAGAGAAAGTACCTAATAAATGGTGGATTTTATCATTTTTTAATAGAAAGTAAATTCACGCCCATGAAAATACTGAGTATTCTTACACTCAAAAACGTAAAAAGATAACTTTGATACATTGAACATCCTCCTAACTTCAGCTTTCCCTTTTTCTTATTTCTCTTCATTCTTTCTAAGTGAGTTTGGGCAGCTGCTGCCAGGCTCTAACAGGTTTGACACTGTGAGCTATGAATGAAGCAAAGACAATGAAGAGTATTGTTTGCCAGTGAGGAATTCATAATGTGAGGCAGGTGGGCTTTCAGGGGTGACCTTTTTTTTTTTAATCTCAGTGAATACCTTGATGGGAATGAAGTCATCTGCTCTACACCCAAATCCTGAGCCAGACAAGGGGAGAGATTTAGGATCTGGTAACAATGAAGAAACAGAAAGCCAGATCCTATTGCTTTCATCATGCTGTTCCTTCTTTGAAATATAAAATCTGTAGTTAAGAAAATAATAATAAAATTAAAATGTGAAAATGTAACAGATTATCAAATACCTGCTCTGTGTGTGTGTGTGTGTGTGTATGTGTGTGTATATGTATACATAGATATGTTTGTATCGTTTTTAGAGACAGGGCCTTACCATGTTGCTCAGCTGGAGTGCAGTGGCTATTCACAGGCCTGATCATAGTGCACTACCACCTGTAACTCCTGAGCTCAATCCTCCTGCCTCAGCCTTTTGGGTAGCTGGAATTGCAGTATATTTTTGTATACAATAAAATAAGCCTTGTTGAATTAATATACTTGTTTTAATCTTGAGAAGATTCCATTTTGCTTTTTTAAAACAATGCATGATGGAATCTCAGAACCAAGCTCCATTAAGAAAAATTATGCTTATTAGGATCTATCTATACACATTTCACATACTGTACTAAGATGGAAAACATCTCTAGGGAAGTGTCTCTCATAGGCTATTTCACTTCTAACCCATCCCCCCACTTGCCATCCAGCCTTTATTTCACTTATCTTACTGCAATTTATGCTTACATTTGCCAGCTCTTCTATAAAAATACTTAACAGCTGGTCAGGAGCTGCCTTATTTTATATTATAAATTATGTGTTCTGTCTTGCTTAGGTAGGACAGAATTTAAACAGAACTGCAAACCTAGTGTGATTCTAAACAGTTTAGAAAGCTTCAAAATAGATTGTAATCCAGTTCAATGACCTAATTCAATTTATCCTTAACAGTTAGTAACCCCGACTGTGACTTTATGAAGAAAAGTATCTTGAGGTATAAAACTGAAGCCCTTATCGATGTCTGATATGGTTTCTATCTGTCCCCACTCAAATCTCATGTTCAATTGTAATTCCCAATGTTTTTGACATTTTCCATATGCAACAATGTGATGTCAACACAATAAAAATAAATGCAGGTACTGTCTCTTCCTCATTTACGATCTAATAATAGAAATTTGAGAAAGTTAATTACACAAACAAAATTAATTATATAGATTGATAAGCACAATGATAGAAGAGGTTCAGGGTATCATGGAATCACAGGAGAAGGGCATATAACCTCGATTTTCAAAGTCTGGCAGGGACTGGGAGAGGTGAAGATATTAATTAGAAGGAAAACGTGTTTGTCAGACAAGGAAAATACATTATTTTAAAAACTCAGAAACAGAGATCACAGGGTGCTTACCAAGATTGAACCTGGCCAGGCACAATGGCTCATGCCTATAATCACAGCACTTTGGGAAGCCGAGGTGGGCAGATTACCTGAGGTCGAGAGATCAAGACCACCCTGGCCAACATTGTGAAACCCTGTCTCTTCTAAAAATACAAAAATTAGCCAGGCATAGTGGCTGGCACCTGTAATCCCAGCTATTCAGGAGGCTGAGGCAGGAGAATCACTTGAACCTGGGAGGCAGAGGTTGCAGTGAGCCAAGATTACACCATTGCACTCCAGCATGGGTGACAGAGCGGGACTCTGCCAAACAAAAAAAAAAAAATTTTTTTTGAACCTACTTTATCATTGAACTTGAGCCTGAATACAGAATGGGCAGCAGGAGCAGAATCTGAGGGCTCCTGGGGGTAATGGGAAGCAGGAAAACATGGATAAACCCCATCTCTACTAAAAAAAAAAAAAAAAATTAGCTGGGTGTGGTGGCACATATCTGTAGTCCCAGCTACTTGGGAGACTGAGGCAGGAGAATCACTTGAACTCAGGAGATAGAGGTTGTGGTGAGCCAAGATCACACCATTGCACTCCAGCCTGGGCAACAAGAGCCAAACTTCATCTCAAAAAAAAAAAAGAAAGAAACTTGTTCAGATTTGCATTGTAATAGGTGTCAAGATTATGGCAATCAGACTCAACTTTGAATTCAGGGATTTCTATCCAGTGAGCAGGGCGAAGGGGTCTGTGATGAAAAATCACTAGGAGGAGACATCGGGGTAGAGGGGATGTTTGTAAACTGACTTAATGAGATTCTTCCTGAATGCAGGTCAAGAACTTACCCAGTAAAGATAAGGGAGGAGAAACTTGATCTGATATGGGGAGTCGGGGATTCTCTCTGAACTAACTTAGAATTTTTGTTAAAGCTGGACTAGGCAGGCCAAAGACAGGGTTCAAGAACAAGGCCTAGAAGAAAAGAAGGCTCGGGGAGCTTGACTGGTCACAAAGAGCCTTTGTCACTCCCATGTGGATATTTTTGCCACAAGCACTAAACAGCTAGGCTAAAGGTCAGAGCCATCCCCCTCTGCGGCAGAGCTCAGCAGGGCACAGTCAAAACTTTCCTCCCAAAGTGGCCTTTCTCTAATTTCCATTTCTGATAAACTTACCATTGTCCTGCCATTCCTTCTTTAGGCATGCTGTTGAGGCAAGCAGGCTCTCTCCTACCCAGGCTTTCTCCCTTATTCTGTCATTGTGTTTGATTCATTATTCATTGATTTATGGTATCACTTTCCAGGGCCAGCCCTAATTTTTTTTCCCCATTTATTTATTTTATTGCATTTTAAGTTTTGGGATACATGTGAAGAACATGCAAGATTGTTGCATAGGTACACACGTGGCAGTGTGATTTGCTGCCTTCCTCCCCATCACCTACATCTGGCATCTCTCCCCTTGCTATCTCTCCCCAGCTCCCCACCCCCCACCATCCCTCCCCTATTTCCCCTCAACTGACCCCAGTGTGTAGTGCTCCCCTCCCTGTGTCCATGTGTTCTCATTGTTTAACACCCGCCTATGAGCGAGAACATGCGGTGTTTGATCTTCTGCTCTTCTGTCAGTTTGCTGAGAATGATGGTTTCCAGGTTCATCCATGTCCTTACAAAGGACACAAACTCATCGTTTTT